CTCCTTTGAACAACTTTCTAAATAAGAGTTCTGAGTCCATTTTGTAGATGGGCAAGTTGAGTGACCTGTCCCAGTTATTACCTGGTAAGGACAAGGTCAAGTTTGACCCAGGTTCTCATGACTCCGAAGGCTCTGATCTGTGAGTACATGGTGCTTCCTCCCAGACACTGCAAAGGACTGTTAGAAATTCCCACTTATCATTCTTATCACCAGCTTCCTTTTTAAGTAGTTAAAATCAACAAGCTGATTCTTCCTTTTTCAACAGGTGAGGTCATTATTCACAGTGGCCCTGGGGTTAATCCTTTTTTTATGGTGGCAAAATATTTGTAATGTAACCTAAAACCTACAGTACTTGGGGTACTTGGATGTCTAGCACAGAGGCAGGGGGCATCCTCAGTGTTATGGAAACATCCCAGTACCCATCCATAGACCTCTCTCCCCTTTCACACCTGGATTTTTCTTCATGCCCATTGCGTTCTTGCCCCCCAGCCCCAGCCCCTGGCAACCACCACCACTCTACTCTGTCTATATGAATTTGTCTACTCTAGGGACTGCATATAAATAGAATCAGGCAATGAGTGTCTTTTTGTGCCTGGCTTATTTCACTTTGCACGTGTCTTCAGGGTTCACCTGCGTTGAAGAGGGGTTAATCCCTCTGACATGTGAGTGAACACTTCCTAATTTATCTTTTTAACTCTCATTTTTACTTAGCAGGGCACACATCTAGGATTGGTCCAGATTAAAGACATGAGTCTTGCCTTCTCTGATGCCTTTTCAGAGCCAAGGCTGAACTGCAGAGCTCAGTGTAGGGATGGAGTGTGATCTTGATCCAACATGAGGCAGGACTGGACAGTTCAGCACCAGCCAAAACCAGCAGCGAGGTCCCTTTCTCCAAAGCTTTAACAGTGTGTCAGCAAAGAGCTACTCTAAAATCAAAGCTGGAGGATCACCTGGAAACACAGCCAATGCTCTGTTATAGAGAGACTGGACAGCTGGGGAGACCCTGGGTGTTGGGCTTTTCTTCATGATCTTCAGGACAACTTAGGACCTTGAACCTTCAGTAACTTCATTTCCAGAGCAGAATACAGGATTGCCATTATTCAGGTCTCTTTCATATGGAGATCAATTCTAAGATGTGATGGTTTTTTTTGGCTGTTTAAATTTGACATTTCACACATTTCCATTTTTTCTCACATTCTTCATGGATTTTGCTTGTTCTTAGGCTGTTTGACGTGGTATTTTTATTTAGTTCAGGTCACTTTCTGCAGTGGTATTTATTTGGAAAGGAAGGTAGTACTATGCATAGAAGATAAGCTCAAGTAAAGACAATAGAAACCAAATAGCGTTATTAAATTCTAGCTTGATGTTAGTTTTCTGGCACCAGCTGTGAGCCCAAGGCCCGTTCTTGTTGATAAGTGTGGAGATGATAAGTTAGACCGTTTTAGCTCACCCAAGGTCACCTTCCTGAATCATTTCAAAGGACTGAAAGAAAATCCAGAAAAGAATGAATTCTTCATTTTGTGACTCAAATTAATTTACTTTCAGGACTCTTTGTTAAACTTCTGTGTTCCTTCCCTATTGACAGTCCCTGGCGTTGGGATAAAGGTGTCTCAAGTATCATGAAATACATTACATACCAGTTACTGTCACATCCATTTTATGTACTTCTTAATCTTCACCATGGAACTGCAGGAGGTGATTCTCACCCCAATTTTACAGATGAGAAAACTGTAGATTCTGAGTGAGTTCATAGCCAGTGGCATCACCTCACATAGCGATAGTTGATATAAGCGCCATGCTTATAAAATCCTAGAGCTGAAGTCCTTTTGAATGGCTCAGGGTCTGAGAATGCTGTGTGTGTTGATTAATATTGCCTTTCCATTCAAGTGCCAAGAACATGGGCTAATCTAGATTTCTATTCATCTTGTGTCCGCGGCAGTGACAGTTTTACAGGGAGAGGCTGCTGAACATCAGTCTGCGGGGATGGGAGTGGGCGGTAACATAAACACATCCGAATGGCTGCACAGCAATCAGAGATGCGCAGCCTGGGTGAGAGCTCCTGGGGTGCGGGTGTGCTCATACATGCTCCAGCTCCGAACCCCAGACAGCACCGACGCTGCTAAGCGTGTATCTCCCTGTGCTGTGGTTGAGCTGTGCGGGGTGGCTGCAGCCAGAGGGAGGCTCAAGTCTCTACAGCTGCAGCCATCCCATTCCTTTTCTGATTGACAGGGCACACTTCATAAAGCTTCCCACCAACTTCCTGCGAGCAAGTCAGGGGCCTTGATAAGCAAGGAGAATTCAGAGCAATTAAGTGCAATCTGAGCCCCAAGAATGCCTTTTTCTGAGGGTGGTTGTGCACCAGCTGCTTTCAATGACATTCCATTCATTCAAGTATGACTTTTACAAAAATAGGCTCATTCTAGGGCCTTCATTCAAAACGGCCTCTGCAGCATTCAGCTTGAGCTGCTCACTGGGCATGTCGATCACCCAGCTCATTGCTAACCCTCCAATGGAAATTGGGTTGGGAAGGGCAGAACACAGTGGGGTCAGCTTGCAAGGCTGGCTGAGACTGAGACCATCTGAAATTTGGAGATTCTCCCAGGGTAGTGAGGCAACGGGGCTTGCAGTGTGGGAGGGGCATGGCACATTGCTGCCCACTTAACATGTCTTCAGATGCCTAGCTCCCTACACCTGTCTCCTGTGTAAGTGGAGATTTTTAAAGAAAACTTATTTTTATTTTATGTGTATGAGTGTTTTGCATGCATGTACGTGTACCCATGTTATGAAATGCTCATGGGAGCTAGAAGAGGGCATCAGATCCCCCTGGAACTGGAGTCATAGACAGTTGTTAGCCCTCATGTGGGTGTTGGGAACTGAACCTGGGTCCTCTGCAAGAGCAGCCAGGGCTCTAAACTGCTGAGCATCTCTCCAGCCCCTTAAGTGGAGTTTTAAAAAAATTGTGGTAAAATAGCCATAACATAAAATGACGATTTTTTTGAACATTTATAAAATTTAAATTTATTCTTAATTTTTAAATTAGCATACAAAGTATTAGGAGTCATGACATTTGGTATAAAATACATTCATATTTTTATATAAATACAGGTTTTGATAGGATTAGATTAGAGAATGCAACAGTGCTAGGTAATTGGAAATTGTTCAGTAAGTAGTAATTAGGTTTACTATTATTATTTTGTATTACCTACTAATATCTTATGCTTGTCAAATATAATGCCTGTTTTGGTGACAGGTATTTCTTGGTGAGGGGCAGGTGCTAAGCAGGGGATGATAGAATGATGAGGGCACATGTGGAGCCTGTCACAGGGGGCTCAGTTTGGTAGAGAACACAGATATGTATATATATAGTGTGCAGATGTGTATGTGCTCATATGTATGTATATACTATATACAGATACATTATATATATCATCTATCTATTCACCTACCTACCTATCATCTGTCTTTCATCTATCTAACAGTGTTGCTCTATAGGATAATATATAAACCCATTCAAGAAACCAAAGAAGGGAGTAAGTCCAGCAGTGTGCAATACAATGAGAGCAAGCATAGGTAAGACTTTTACACAGAATTTGCAGGTTAGGAAACACTAGGCATTCTGAATTTGAGGTCCTGCCTCAAAATAGCAAGTGAAAAAAAGGCTAAGGCCTTGGGTTTCAGCCTCAGCACTATACAGGGGAAAAATAAAGAGATAAGGGTTGGAAGATGTAGCTCAGCCTAGCATGCTGCCTAACATGCACTAGGTCCTAGGTTCAACCCCCTCAGTATAGCAAAAACAAAACAGTCACTTTCTCTTACCTGAGATTTTACATTCCATGATTTTATTTACCCACTATGAACCAAACATACTATATTGGAAGATCCCAGAAACAATTTATGTGTTTTAAAATGTATACCATTCTGAGTGACATAACAGTTTTATACCACCTCGGTCTGTCCTACTGGGAAGTGAATCATCCCTGGGTCCATTGTATCCACCTTGTGTATCCCACCTAGCAGTCACTTACTAGCTGTCTTACTTACCAGAATGACATCTGTTCAAGTGAGCTTATTTTATTTAATCATGACAGTTGTAAGAATAATATTGATGCCCATTAATTTTATTGTAGTATATTATTATAATTGGTCTGTTCTATTATTATAATAAAACAGAACAATGATAAGAGATAAGCAAAAATAATATTATTGCTAATCTCTTATAGTTTGGGGGTTATAAATTAAACTTAGACATGTATATATAGAAAAAAAAATAGCATATGCAAGGTTTGGTACTCTCCAAGGTTTTAGGCATCCTTTTGTGACTTAAAACATCCTCCTCAGATAAAGGGAGTCTACCATGTACTTTAATGCTTGTCAGAAACATTAAGTTGGTGATTTTTGTGGAAGCTGTTATTGGGGTATTGTGGTTTGAATGTGAAATATCCCCCACAGACTCATGTATTGAACAGGGTCTCCAGCTAATGGTGCTGTTGAAACTTGCTGGAGGAAGTGGGTCACTAGGGGTGGGTCTTGAAGTTTTTGGTCCAGCCCTACTTCCTGTATGCTTTCTTTTTCCTGAATGAGGACACAGTGTGAAGAGCCACCTCAGGCTCCTGCCCGGTGCTTCCCTTGCCGTGATGGACTCTATCTTCTGAATTGATAAGCCAAAATAAGCCCTGTCTCTTTGAAGTTGCTTCTTGGCAGGTGTTTGGTCACAGCAACAATGAAAGTAACAAATACACATGACAAGTCTCAATTAAAGCTTAAAATAGAGAGGCCGTACAAACACAGTTTTACACAATAGAGCATGCACTGTGAAGTACGGCAGAGCTGGTATTGGGTGTTGTGGACTGCAGTGGGAAACACTAGTTCTTTGATGCAGACTCAGGACTGGGGAGACAGTGGTGACCCTGGCGGCCTCATCTGCTGTGGGTGATGTGAATCAGTTTGATGACGCTAGCAATTTAACTGCAACGTATCTTGTGTATCTTGCTTCTCTGTAGATTGCTGACTTTGGGCTTTCCAACCTGTACCAGAAGGACAAGTTTCTGCAAACATTTTGCGGGAGCCCACTGTATGCATCTCCTGAGATTGTCAATGGGAGGCCTTACCGAGGGCCAGAGGTGAGCAGACTGCTGGTGTTGGGGGCTGGGGAGCTGCAGGGAGAAGGAGGGAGGCAAGAACTAGGTCTTAGAATTTTTCTAAACGCCCCAAAAACCAAACAGAGAAAACTTGCTTTTGCGTGATTTATAAGGGCATTCATATACAGACCTGGGAGAAATTTTAGAAAGTCTTAGAAAAGCCTAAAAGAGGAAATAAAGATGCCTGCAAGTTCCCCACCATGGGATAGCCACTTATAGTTTTTGTGACTTTTCTTTTAGGCTTTTTTTCCCCCCAAGGTAGTTCTCTACATTTCAGAAATAATCAAGATCATCTAAAACTAAATCAAGATCAAGTTAATAAAGGGCAAGCTGTACATACTATGACACACATAGACGTGTGCATGTCTGCCTTTTTAAAATTTAAACTTATGTGGTGACCTCTTCCAAATTCATTGTTAAAAGTATGATTTGGGGAGCTGGAGAGCTGGCTCAGCAAAGAGAGCCATCTGCTCTTTCAGAGGAACTGGGTCTGGTTTCCAGCACCGACATGACAACTGACTACTGTTTGTAACTCCAGTTCCAGGGGATCTGATACCCTCCTCTGGTCTCCATAGACATTGCGTGCATGTGGTACTCTTACATACATGCAGATAAAACATATACATAAAATAAACCAAAAAAATTTTTTAAAATATAATTTGTAATGACCACATACTATCTTGCTTTATGCATATACTGCAATATATTTAATAATGTCCCTGGCTTTAGACATTTAATTATTCTCTAGTATAGCAAAACAAACAGAATAAAGACAACCCCTCTCAATCTTTTTTGCCCCTATTTGTGACAGCATGTATATTTAAGGAACTACACTGTAATGGCCTCATCTCTTTCACAATAAGTATATTTCTTTTTTAAGAAAAATTTATTATTTTCTATTTTATGTGTATGAGTGTTTTGCCTTCCTGTATGTAAGGGCACTTGTGTCATGCAATGCCCACACAAATTAGGAGAAGGCATCAAATTCCCTAGGAACTGGAGTATTGGACGGTTGTTAGCTACCATATAACTGCTGGGAATTGAACCTGGGTCCTCTGCAAAAACAGCCAATGTTCTTAACGACTGAGCCAACTCTCCAGCCCATAAATATATTTTTTTAGGTGCCCTAGAAATCTTCTAGGGCCACCATAAGATAATGCACCTTTGAAAATGTTGTGAGTTAGTGAGTACTCACTTGCAAGAAGATGGTTCACTTTTCAGAGACGTTCATCCGCCCAGTACCCTTTAAATAGCAGCTGCTCAGTGTGTGGAAATGTTTTCTTCCAAATATTTATCTGTTTGAGAGTGTTTTGGGGGGCAGGGCTGGAGATGAAGGGAAGAATGCCAAGGTCTACTAGCAATTAAGATGAAGAGAAAGTCTTCAAAAAATAAGAATGTAAGGGAGGAGTGTAGGATTCAGTTTAGTAGATGATAAGTGCTTCTTTGATGGTCTGTGTCTGAAGTTATAAGCTGGCATCTGGTCTAACCAATAGACTTGCTATATTTGGTCACATTCATCTCCAGAAAAAAAATCAAATGAACATTTAATAACTGGGAGATGTCACAGAAAACTATGATTTCTGGCTTCTCTATAAATACTAAATGCTCCAGCAGTACTGGGCCTACATTTCTACATGGTAGTAAGGAGCCAAGGTTGCCTGCCTAAGATGGGTGGATGCACTCAGTAATTTGTTTCTGTCCCCAACATTCCACATTGCACCCCAAGTTCTTTCTTACTTTGCTCATGTTTGTTGTCTCATAATTTTGGAACCTTTAATCCCTTTGAAGAAATAAACGGAGGAACTGACTCTTGTGCTAGGAATGAAGGGCCTTGCATTCCATCTTTACCTCCATGAGTTAGGGGGCTTCTGGGGAAATGGTGGTCTCTATTCCTTTCTTGTTTGTCAAATGGGGCTGGAAATAATCAAGGCCCTACCTGTCTCACAGAATTATAATGGGGACCAACTGTGTTGCCATTGTGTCTGGCTGTGGTGGGAGCCTGTCTTCTAGGTGCTAAATTCTGTTCTTGGGGGCTCTGTGTGTAGCTGTTCATACACAGTGATGCTAGTGGTTTGGAAGCCATCTGGGAATCTGCATCCCAGCTCCTATGTGACCTGTCTTCCTGCTCTAGGTGGACAGCTGGGCCCTGGGCGTGTTGCTTTACACTCTTGTTTATGGAACGATGCCCTTCGATGGTTTTGATCACAAGAACCTCATTCGACAGATCAGCAGTGGAGAGTATCGGGAGCCCACGCAGCCCTCAGGTCTGTGTCCTGTGGAAGTGTATGTGTGTGTTGGGGGTCTTTGGGGTACAGTGCTTGGCTTATCAGCTCACACACTTTGCTTTCTGGGTCTGTAAAAAGTCTCCTGCCATCCCTTATTCCTCTTTCAGAAAAGTCCCCTTTGCAAAAACTCACTTTTTAGGATATTTTTTCCAAACTGTCCTGGGTAAAAATTTCCCAGAGCAGATGGGACAGCCCAGAAGTCCTGCTTGCCTGCTGTATAAATTTTGGCAAACCAGTTTTTCTACTATAAATTAAAACTTGGGAAAGGGTTTGTAGCATAAAAAGCCCCTCTCAGGCCAGGCAGACATGAATTCCCCTCCTGAGATGCGAAGGGCCACGAGGCTGGCCACTGCCCTGACGTTTTCACTGCCGTGTCCCTGCCTGGACTATGGTGTATTATTATTGTTCCATTATTTCTTCTTGCATAATAACCATTCCACTTGCTAAAACAAACCCAGGGGCTTAAACACCCACTGTTGTGCATATCTGCCAGCCTAGTATGTTTCTGGTCTCACTTAGGGTTCTTTCTGCACCTGCAGTGAGCCAGGAGTCTGTGACTAATTGTATGGGTTCTGGCTCTTTGAGGGGCCGTCCTATGGCCTGTCATACCAGTAGAGAGTCTGGATCTCTTTACCTGGCAGCTTGGAAGAAGGAGAAGAGACTGACAGACATTCCTGTTGACTAGGTGGGAACTGGATTGCGTTGCCTTTGGTATGTTCTTTTGGTCAGAGCAACTGAGGTCATAAACATCATCTCTTCATGGAAAAGCATTATGTATATACAGGAGGCCTGTATACAGGTGGCTAACATGGAACATAGTTAACATTTACATACTACTGTTTACATGTATACACAATTGATTTTTGTTCCTTCAGTCAATGAATATTGAACTAACCATTCCTTGCTTCTAGGCAATATACAGGGTTAGATTCTTATGTGTCTTAGAAGTATGATTTTTGCCTATTGATCAATACTTAACCATTTTTGTATATTTATGTTTAAAGACACCTTACTTAATATGCACTTTTGATCTGTTAACCTCAAACTCAGCAGCCAACAGCACTTTTGTTTCTCTCTGAACAAAGTTCATCTAACACGTTTTCTCCTGAAGGCATGTCCTGTCTTCCGTGCACTTGAGAACAGTAGACAACACTTCTACGCTGTGTTTGGGGCCATTTTAGTGGCAGAATCCCAGCAGAGAATACAAAAATGTGAAAAACACAGTGCTAAATGGACTGAGGAAGGGCTGCTTGTTTGTAGTCTGGGAGCTGAAGCCAGACCGGCACACACACAAGCTTTGAAGCTCTGGGGTCTTCACTGCTGTGCGCATTCAAGATGCCCACCAAAGTGCTATGGGCATCAATTTGGGATTTGCAAACAAGTTTTACTGTGTAGGTAAATTGACAAATAGAAGACTGAGGACTGACACGGATGGGTGGATGATAGAGGCATATAGAGACCCCCCCCCCAATCAGTCAGGCTGAGCTTTTCGTTTGGAGCAATTTCAGGATGACTTTCATGATGGTCTTTTATTGCTTTGCTAGCTAACTGGTACCAGTGAACTCCTGGCACATTGCAGGAGCTCAGGAAATTCTTACTGAATGATTGATCATCCTGTTCCTCTTCAGGGGTACGGCTCACCCCACTAGGCCCCTGGCAGCTCTCATCAGCTATTGGGAGTGGCTGAGGGGAAGAGGCCGCCTCCCAGGATATAACCCCAGGTGGCGGGACACAGTGTGATCCTAAAAGTCAGTTTATCAACTCTGAGATTGGTTCCTATGCTTTCCTCAGCATCCTTGGGGCCTCTCCTCTAGGTCTCTGGTAGCAGAAATTTACAAGGGGGGATTTTTTTTTTTTTCCAGAGAGGCTGTGGGTAGCAGATACAGATCAGCTCTCAGCTCTGACAGCTTGGTAGATACCCATAGGGCTTATGTCAGATAGGATAGGAGGTGAGCTCACTGGGCGTGGCTCTCAGAACCTGGCCAAAACCTTGGGAGTGAGGCCAGCCATGGGTATGGCTGCTCTTTCTACCCAGGTGTGTCACATAAGAGCCACACCTGGCACAGAGCTCCTCTCCAGCCTCTGCCTCCAGCGCCTTTTCCAGGTGACTCTGAGTACTGTGTATTTACATGAGCCTACCTTTGGAGGGTTACTGATGAGCACCTGCATTCTGTTTTGGTGAAATGATACTAACCAAAGCAATAATGAGGTTGAATCTGAATTCTTTCCCAATTACCAGGCCTTTTGTACTTGATGAAGATCTAGGATGGCAGAGAGGCCAGTAGTTCCAGAATATTCTCTCACTTGTGGAAAAGCAGGCTAGGGCTGGGGAGATAGGTCAGTTGATAATTGCTTGCTTGCAAGCACGAAGACGAGTTCGATACCCAGAACTCACTTAGATAAGCCTGTCATGGTGGTGAGTGCTTGTAATCCCAGTGCTGGGGAGAGGTAGAAACAGATGGATCCTTGGTGCTTGCTGGCCTGCCAGTCTGGCCTTCTCGGTGAGCTCTAGGCCAGTGAGGCACCCTGTCTTTAAAAGAAAAAGATAGATGGTGCCTGAGGACGTCTGAAGTTGTTCTCTGGCCTCCACATGCACACACACACATATACCTACACACACATAAACGTGTACACACAATAAGAAAAAAGGCAGGCCACCCGGATGGGCTGGCTCAGTGGGCTATGGTTCTGAGCCTTGGTTATGCTTTCGTTGTAGAGTCTAAAGGGCTTTGACTCCCTGTGTCAGTATGAGGGTAGAGCAGGACTCCAAATGGATTTTTCTCCCTGAAGTGAGTGCATCTCTTTAGCCACTCCTGAAGAGTCACCCTGCCACTGCATCAAAAGAACCCACACATAACCTGTCTCTTTGTCTCTCACCTATAGATGCTCGAGGGCTCATTCGGTGGATGCTGATGGTGAACCCCGATCGCCGGGCCACCATTGAGGACATTGCCAACCACTGGTGGGTGAACTGGGGCTACAAGAGCAGTGTCTGCGACTGTGACACCCTGCCCGACTCTGAGTCCCCACTCTTGGCGCGGATCATTGACTGGCACCACCGGTCCACGGGGCTGCAGGTTGAGGCTGAAGCCAAGATGAAGGGTCTAGCCAAACCCGGAGCATCAGAGGTCGTGCTGGAACGGCAGCGGTCACTGAAGAAGTCCAAGAAAGAAAATGACTTTCCCCAGTCTGGCCAGGACTCAGTGCCTGAAAGCCCATCCAAGTTGAGTTCCAAGAGGCCCAAGGGCATCCTAAAGAAGCGAGGCAACAGCGAACATCGCTCCCACAGCACTGGCTTCATTGAAGGCATCGTGGGACCTACCTTACCATCTCCTTTCAAAATGGAGCAGGATTTGTGTCGGACTGGCATCCCCGTCCCCAGCTCCCCTGAGGCAGACATGCCAGGGAAGCTCAGCCCCAAACAGTCGGCCACAATGCCCAAAAAAGGTATCTTGAAAAAGACGCAACAGAGAGAATCTGGTTACTATTCATCCCCAGAGCGCAGTGAGTCTTCAGAACTGCTGGATAGTAATGATGTGATGGGCAGTGGCCTCCCTTCCCCCAGCCCCCTGGACCCAGCCAGGGGGGCTTCCCACAGCCTGTCCTGCCGGAGGAAGGGCATCTTGAAACACAGCAGCAAGTACTCTGAGGGTGCCACAGACCCTGTCCTCGCCAGTCCCGAAATACCCACACTGGAATCCTTGTCAGTGCCTGGAGTCCCCTCCGACGGCCTCTCCCGGAGTTATAGCCGTCCCTCCAGTGTCATCAGTGACGACAGTGTCCTGTCTAGTGACTCCTTTGACTTGTTAGATCTGCAGGAAAATCGCCCAGCCCACCAGCGTATCCGTAGTTGTGTCTCTGCTGAAAACTTCCTCCAGCTTCAAGACTTTGAGGGGTTGCACAACCGGCCCCGGCCCCAGTACCTGAAGCGGTGCCGGAACCGGCAGGCAGACAGCAGCTTTTCCCTCCTCGCCGATATGGATGACGTGACTCAGGTGTATAAGAAAGCGCTGGAGATCTGCAGCAAGCTCAACTAGTCCTCCAGGGCCCAGAGGAAGGGATGGGTGGGCCAGTGGGGAACAGGACTTGTGCTGACAGGCTGGTTACCCCTTTGCTAGCCATGACAATGAACTGGAGAAGGCTTAGCGCTGGCTGGCCTGACCAGGTTTACAGCCTTGAGCCAGCACCTGAGAAAGAGAGAAGTGGCTCTCTGCCAACTCTGCCAACTACCAGTCAGAATGTGGGTCCTAATTGGCATCCCCATATAGCATCTCACCAAGGACCAGCTATCCAGGGAAGGTGGTGTTGGCCAGCACTTAGTGGGGGGGGCATTAGGAAGAGGGGTTGTTTCCTTAGAAGTCGTTCAGACACTACTGGGGGGGGCAAGAGGGACTGAGACCATCTGCTTTAGATGAATACAAAGACCTTCCTCTTCATTAGCAAGCCTGGGCTGACTACACAGGCTAGCAAGATTTCAGCAATCTGAGCTTGAATCAGTGATGGATTGATGTCTGTACTGTGTGCTATTTGAGTAGCCCAGGCATCAGAGAGTGCTGTGATTGAATACTAATGGCTGCTGTGGAAACAGGAATGAAGGCAGTAATACTCATGCCACTGGTTAGTGGTCATCCTTGACCTGTCAGAACCCTGGGAATTAGGTTAAGGCATCCTGTGGTGTCTGTGTGAACTCTTTCATGCCTCATGGTGGCATGTGTTAATGGGAAGCAGGGAGATTTGGTCAGAGAGAGAATGCTTTGCACTCTGCTAAGGAAACAGTCAGGTCATGGTAAATTTCTGTCTCCTGACTACCTGCCTCTTTCCTGATGTCTGCCTTGTTCTTTAGCATAACCCTTTGAAAGTGAACAAGGAAGGAGAGGGCAGTGTCAGAGGCCATGGCTGTGGTGTGTGATAGAGCACAGGACCCCTGTGGTCTTTGCAGAGCTGAGTGGAGGGTGAAACATACCAGCACAGGGCAACTTGTTACTTTCTTCAATGTCTCAATGTTAACTGGAACATTGCCTCTTGAGTTGTCACCTGCATGGGTGCTTTAATGGGATGTAATGCTGTCAACAGTTTCCAGGGGCTTACTCTCAGCCATTGCCCTGTTCACCACGAATGCTTTCCTGTCGACGAGGGTGAGGTCTGGTGGGAGATGAGTTTGCTTCTAGGGAGAGAGTTCATGTCTAGGTGGGATGTTCGGATGAGGAAAGTCAAGTCTGCCAGAAGGTGTTTTTCCTCAAAACCTAAGTATTCTGTCTCACGTTTTTGAACTCTGACATGAACTTTTGTGCTTTGGGGAGAAAGCAAATCCCATCCATCCATGGAACAAGGTGTGGAGAGAACAGAGTGGGTTGGGGAGGAAGCTTAGTGTGGAACATTTCCTCAGGAGCCTTCCAGATGGTTCTGGAGGTGGCAGAAAAGAGGTGTGACAGGATTCTTAAAAATGTTCAAGCTGGTTATCTAATCTCCAAATGCTCTGATTCCAGATGATGTCATTTCCATAGTGAGCACCCCAAGGATCCTGGGGGTTGACATGAATGGTCTTTCTGGGATGACCTTGGAATCCACTGGCTTGGGCAGATCAGAATCTTTTTTTTCCAAGGTGGCCACCTTTTGATAACCCCTTAGGGAGAGAGGAAGACATGTCATGGGATGTCTAAGGAGAAACAGGATTTGTTACAGTACTGAGAACAGTCACTAGGAAGATGTTACCCTTGCTTAAAGGAGACCGATCTGTGCCCCCCCATGCTTCTGGCTCTGGCGTTTTGGCCTGTGCCTTCCTTTGGGTTGAGCTGAGCAGGGTATTGTGGGAAGCTGCTTAGTTTCCTTTTTTTCAATTCCATCTCCTTCCTGAACTCCAGTAGCTGCTAAAAGGGAGAAAAACTTATAAATAGAAACCTGTGTTTGGGGGTGTGTGGGGTGCATGGAGGGTAGCCTGTAACCTCGGACCCCTCCCCCCATCTCCTTGCCTCCAATGCAGCCTTTTGTGAACAGCTCCTCTTGCCACATTGCTGGCCTCGGATATACCAGCCACCTACTGGTTGATGAGAATTTTTCCTTTTGCCTGGGGATTGTGTCTTCTTAATATTTCCCATCATTCTAATCTTTGAGTAAAAGTGACTCCATTAAGGAAAACCATCTTACTCCCCTTTCCCTCCTCCCAGTCACCAGTATGTTCTCTTCTGTCAGTACGTTCAAAGACAGTGGGTTTCAGAAGAAAAAAAATGTCTTATGCTCAGAGAAGAGACTCAGAATCTAGTCCCGGTCTGCCAGAAGATCTGGTAGTTTCAGCACTTCCTTGTTTCCAGGGCTGTTTCCCTGTCCGTGAAGGCTGGAGAGGTGGATGGGTTGGTCTGCCAAGGGTATGCTCAGTTCTGGCATTCTGACATCTCTTGCTTCTAGAAGAGATGCCGACTATCCCTTTTAGGAACAACTTAGAGCAGAGGGGAAAGCCGTTAAAAGCAGCTTCCCACTTGAGCATTGTTATCCTTGCCGCCCAATCTTAGGCCAGGGAAGGTGTGCTTCATTTCCTTCGAATCCCAGGAGACACTTTGATGACCAGATGGACAGAACGGGGAGCCACTGCAGGCTCTCCTGGCCCTTTCCTTGCTTCTGGGGCCCTTTCAGCGTCTTCGTTTACACATCTGCCAAAGGGGTGGAATTACACTTCGTTTTACAGGTAAACTTCAAGGCACAATCAGCTTTCAGGAAAGTGCTTCAAGATTCTAGACTACATGACAATGCTAAATTCCCTCTGAATTTTGGTCCTGTTACCAGGTGCTCCTTTTCAAGTGAGCACTTTGCGGGGTGAAATTCAGGTGAGTTTTGCCCAGGTCTGCTGTCTTGAGTACAAATGTGAATGAATGATGGACTGACTGCTTGTTGCCAAACTGGAAATGTTCTGTAGGGATTTACTGGCATGGCGTCGTTCCTAGGAGGAAGAGAAATAATGGAGAGAGAAACTTGACTGCACATTTTTTAAAAAATCCGTATTGTGACTTTTATTTAATTTCTATTTTTTGGTAATAAAAAGTTGACTTTTTAATTTGAATTTGTCTTTTTTATTTATTGGTCTGAAAGGCATTTCAAAGGTATTATAATAATATATTGGTGTAATTTAATTGGTGCAACATGCTTTATGGCTCCAGTCAAAATTGGTTTTCACTTATGTGATTGGTTTAAGAACAACCCATTGGGGGGGGAAGGCTGGCTAACTACCCAAAGTGTTCATTTTTCATTGGGAACTAAGTTTTGTCTTTTTTCTGTTTTTATTTTTAAATTAAATAAATTGCATTGAACTGAATTGGGGCCTTGTTTCTTTATTTGATTTGTTTTTCCTTAGTCAAGCAAGTGACACATTGGGTATAGGTGACAGAAGCTTAGTCATATTGGTTTAAGCATCCAGGGAGTGTTGATTCATAATTCTCAGAGGTCTCGAGTCAGTTTTCAGGGCATTGGGACTGAGGCCTGGGGGCATGATCTGAGACAACTCTTGAGCTTGCTTGACTGCATTTCCCTGAACACTCGTGTGTGTGTGTGTGTGTGTGTGTGTGTGTGTGTGTGTGTGTGCATATGAGTACCAGAGGACAACTTCAGGTGGTGGCCTTCTTTAGCTGTTTACCTTGTTCTTTGAGGCAGAGTCTCTGGATGGTCTGGAGCTGATCAAGTAGCTAGGTTGTTGGCCAGTGAGCCTTGGGGATCTGCCTGTCTCCACCTCCCCAGCACTGGGATTACAAGCTTGCACTATGACAACTGGCATCTGCCTGTCTCCACCTGCCTAGCACTGCCTGTGGGAGCTTACACGACAGCTGGCTTTTTGGACATGTGTTCTGGGGATCAGACTCAGGTCCTCATGTTTACAGTGCAAACACTTTACCAACTAGGCTGTGTCCCCAGTCCTTTGTATTTTAACGTCAAATGGCGTCAAACTACCCTGGGACAAACGCTGGAGACTTAGGCTATGTACCTAGATGTGTTATGAGATCCAGGCAAGAAAAGTAACTTTTCCAGAGAAATTGCTATTGTACCTTTTCTGGTCCCCTGGGAGTAGCTCAGGTGTGGCCCAGCCCTGTTCTCTGTATTTCTCCTCCCTAGTTGTGACTCACCTTGCCTTGGCCCACAGCCTCCAAATCCACATTTTCTTAGTGGTACTTTCCAAAAGAAACTGATGACCAAATTCTATCAGTCTGGGCTGGAAATGTCATCAAAGGCTAACAGCTGTGCTTCTCCCCACAACCCCCCTGTGCTTCAGATTCCCCAGTGCCCTCCCCCAGGCCCCATGCATTCACTCCAGTGTCACACAAACTGTGAATCATATTGTTCAGGATCAAGATCAGTGGGTTATTTCCTATGAGGCCACAGTTGTGCCAATAACATGGCATACTGGGCTTTGCATTTTGCAGTGGTTTCTTGTGAGAACACACACCATCCTGTCCCTTTGCCTGACAACTCTTGGAAAGAATTATAGGTTGAGCAGTTCCTGGATCCTGGTCATAATATCAATGACATGAAGTCCTACCCTGGTATCAAACATTAGAGAGTCATCCTCTGAGGCAAATCCATGCAAGAAAAGTCTGGCTTTCTAAAGAAATGAGACCTTGTACCCATTTCTGATGTGTAAGAACCTCAGGTAGATTGACACATTTGGCAAATACAACTACAGGATGCCCATTTAAATCTGAAATCCAGATAAACACGAGAATAATTTCTGTCCTAGTTTCTCAATAAACATCATGACCAAAAGTAGCTTGGGGAGGAAAGGGTTTGTTTGCTCTTAGCTCCAGGTCACAATCCATCATCCAGGGAAGTCAGGGCAGGAGATCAAGCCTGAAGCAGAAACCACAGAGGAACACTGCTTCCTGGCTCAACTCACACTCTCCCTGGCTCAGGCTCAGCTAGCTTTATTAATACAGCTCAGGACCCCCTGCCTAGGGATGGTACCACCCACAGTGGGCTGGGCTTTCCTACATCAATTAGCAATCAAGAAAATGCCTCATAGACATGCCCACAGGCCAATCTTATTGAGTCAGTTCTCCAGTGTCAAGCTGTGTCAAGCTGACAGCTGAAGCTAGCTATCTAGGAGGATTTTTTTTTTTTTTTTTTTTTAGTTTAAGAATGTCTCCTGGGATATTGGGGCCATGTTTATTAGTTTTAAAAACACATTGTCTGAAATTCATACTTAGCTGGGCTTCCTGCAGTATATTTGATAGAACTTGATTGGCTTAAATTGACTTGGTTTTGGGTGTCATAGAGGTGGATGAATGGATGCTTCAAGGTGCAGCCCATCAGAGTTTAGAACATACTGGTGCCTCTCAAGTTAGATGCAGTGGAAAGAATTCCAATTCCAGTCTGAACTTGGTAATCGTGACTGAGTCCAACTGCTACTACTCTCTGGGCTTCTTTTTTCTCAATTGTTTAAATTGCTTTCTCTCTCGCTCGCTCCTCTTGCTCTTGCTCTCTCACTTTCTTGCTCTCGTGTAGGCCAGAGGACAACCTTGGGTGTTGTTTCTCGGGCACCCTTTACCTTGTTTATTTTGAGACAAGTTTTCTCACTGGCCTGAGGTTCTCCAGTTAGGCTAGGCTGCTGGTCCGTGAGCCCTCCCCAGCATTGGGATTACAAACGTGTCACCCATGCCTAGCTTTTGTTACGTGGGTTCTGGAGACTGAACTCAGGTACTCATATTTGCAAGATAAGCACTTTACCAGCTGAGCCATGTCCCCAGTCCCCAGTGGTTTTATTAATAGCTACCTTGCCTATTGGTAACAGAGCTGTGAAGGAAGAATGAAATAATTTCTATAAAGTTACCTTAAGTATAAAACTCGATAGGAAAATATAGTCCCTTCTTTCACAGAACAATATTCATTGAATTTTATTTATTTTTTCTTTGTTTAAAATATTTCTTAGTAGTACTTGAGCTTTTTTAGAAGCACCTAGGGTGACTACACTCCAGTCCTTTAGTGATTTTTAAAATAGGACATTTAGGGGCTGAAGAGATGGTTCATTGGTTAAAAGCATTTCCTGCTCTTTCAGAGGACCCAGGTTCAGTCTCCAGCACCAACATGGTTGTTCACAACCATCTATAAGTCCAGTTTCAAGCAATCCCAACTTCTGGTCTCCACAGGCACTGCATGTATGTGGTGCACTTACACACATGCAGGCAAAACACTCATGCACATAAAAATATATGAATCTATAAATTAAAAAATAAAATAGGGCTGGGTGTGGTGGCACACACCTTTAATCCCAGCACTTGGGAGGCAGAGGCAGGTAGATCTTTATGAGTTCGAGGCCAGCCTGGTCTACATAGAGAGTTCCAGGACAGCTGGGGCTACAGGGAGACCCTGTCTCAAAAAGACAAAAAATAAAATAAAATAAAATAAAATAAAATAGGACGTTTATAGGCAGTGTGTGTGCTTGTCGCTTCTTTTTAAAAATATTTTTATGTGTATGAGTGTTTTGCTGTAAGTGAACCATGTCATGCAATGCCTGCAGAGGTCAGAAGAGGGCATTGGATTCCCTGGAACTGGAGTTACAGGATGGTAGTTAGCTGCCATGTGGGTGCTGGGAACCGAACCCAGGTCCCCTGCAAGAGTAGCTGGTGCTCTTGACCGTTGAGCCATCTCTCCAGCTTCTGCCTTGTTGATTCTCAATGTTTGCTGCAGTCTCTGCCACCATTAACAAGTGGGCAAGCACCGCAGAGGAAGAGACTCAATGTATGCTTACTTAAAAATGGGTCCTTTCAAAAGGCACAATTCTGTACCCAAATATAAGGAATAACATGTGCATGACTTAACAGCTGAACCAGAAGTGACACAGACAGGCTAGTGAGGAAATGAAGGGTAATTATAGTCAACATGTTGTCAACTGTGGGTAAACTATCATGGGTTACATGAAACACTGTCAAAATAAGTAGCCATAGGAAGAGCAAACATTCATATTCATTTCAGGCAGCGGGGACAGTAGATGCAAGGGCCCTGGGGTCTTTAAAACAGGGCTTGATAGGGTTGATTTCTGGTCCATTTGGCATAGGACAGCCATGTTCTAGAGAGCATGGTGTTTTGTTAAACATCTGTGTCCACATTCTAACAAGGACTGCCTGTGATCATTTATTACTTTGTGTATCCTAAATTACAAATGACCGAATCCTTCAACAGGTGGTCCCCAGACGAGACACATGCTGTGATGTGCAACTTTTAAATGAGAATATGTTTCTGCTGCAGAAATTCACTGCCAGTTTATTTAAATGGATGGAAAGGATGTTTTTAATCCACAAAAGCTTGCAAAGCTTGGGACATGGCAACGGAACAGAAGTGATGCTATATATGACCAGAAATTAGAGGAAGGTTGTCTTGTCACTAAACCTGTTCCAAGCTGGCAAAACTGTCTAGTTTTAACAGGAAAGGATGTAAAAAGGAGCCAGTTAATTTCGTTTTAAGATCCTATCAATTATGTTCCATTTGATAAAAAGTTTACACTTCTCGTCTGTATTAGCTTTCACAGTGGTAACCAGAACACCCCACAGAACAACTTTAAGAGAGGAATTGTATGTTGTAGCCCACAATTTCAGCTCTCAGTCCATCACAGAGGTGCAAGTATTTGGCACAAAGGGTTCTTAACTTCATGGCAGACAGGAAGCAGAGAGGAGAGAAAGGGACCAGGCATAACCTTCAAAGGCATACCTACCAATGACTACTTCCTCTAGCTAGGTCACCTCCCAAAGTTTCTACCGCCTCCCGAAATGGTGCCACCAACTGGATACTAATCATTAACCCCATTAGCCCACGGAGGACATTTCATATTAAACTCTATCATCTCTACCCAACTGTGACTAGCCATTGTATCTTGACTAACTAGTTCCTGAGTCTACACTCTGTTAGTTTTTGTTTCTTAATTAGTCTGGATAAGCTATGTTATGCTGAAGTAACAATTAAACCCTGAAATGCCAATGGCTCAATGTAATAAGCTATTATACCTCCTTTTCCGCTGCCTAGGACAGATTAGGATGTTCTTTCATCTCCAAACTGAACTTCTTACAGGATTTCTCACTCCTGGCTGTACAAATGAGGGAGAGAGCATAGGTAAGAACCCTTACAGATCAGCCCTGGATATAGTGTGCATCATTTGAGCCGCATCCCATTGGTCAGAACGCAGTCAAATGACCCCATCGGGAGGGAGGGAGGAAGGGGAGAGGAGGGAGGAAGGAGGGAGAACATGATGTCATGGATAGTCTTTGAGTATCTAGTATTTTATTTTTTAATATTTTATGTGTATGAGTGTATTACCTGCATGTTTATAAGTGCACC